GGGGGGAGGAGGGAGCTAGAACACAGAATTTACTGCATAAGATATGAGAATGAGAAGGAAACTTAGAACAGAGAAGAACATCGAGTGCTAGAACTGGGAAAGACCTCAGACCACGATGGAACATAGAGAGGTGGAAGGGGCATTAGCTCTACACCCTCACTTTATAGATAATGTGGCTGAGGTCCAGAGAAGGCAAATGACTTGCTCCGTCCTGCCTCTGTCATTTGATCACCTTGGTGACCACTGGCATCTCTCTGGGGTTCAATCACCTCATTTATAAAATAAAGGGTTTGGATTAGGTGGTGTTTCCTGGGGCAGCTAGATGGCTGTGGTGCAGTGGATAGAGTGTTGGGCCTGATGTGCAGAAGATATCTTCCTGAGTTCAAATCCAGTTTCAGATACTTATTAGCTGTGTGACCCTGGGCCTCAGTTTCCTGTTTGCCTCAGTTTCATCATCTGTAAAATGACCTGGAGAAGGAAATGGCAAACCGCTTCAGTATCTTTGCCAAGAAAACCCCAAATGGGATCACGAAGAGTCGGACACAACTGAAACAATCCTCCCAGCTCTAAATCTGTGATCCAAAGAACACAGAGCTTATGAGTGGCAGAGCCAGGACTAGAACCCAGGCCTTCTGACTTTCGGTATTGTACTTGTTCTCTGACACCACGTGGGCCTTCCTGTGTTTCCTGTTGGTTACCAGTGTGATGGGAGTTGGGTGTGTCATTGTGATCTCAGTCAAATGCTGGATAGCTTGATGTTTTTAGTACACTGTGTAATAATAGTCTGTGTAGAAGACCATTGACCTTCTCGTACAGCACTTTTAAATCTGTTAGCACTTTGATATCTGTTATCTTGTTTTATTTGTCCCCCTCATCGCCCTTCCCCTTTGTTAAAGGCCCTTCGTAACTTCCCCAGCTCCCCACAGCCTTCTAACAGAGAATCAAAGAACCTTAGATCTGGAAGTGACATAAAAGACCATCTAGAATTGTAGAATTTGGAGTGGGGGGGGGACCTTAGAGATCGTTTATTAAACCCTAGTATGTGCCAGATATTATGCTGGGTATTGGTAGGGGTATAGCCCTAGTCCCCAAGGAGCTAACATTGTATTGGGGGAAATCTATATACATATAGATCTATATGTTGATCTATATGTATATATGTATGTATATATATGTAGTATTCTATAACCCTATGCAACAAAATCACATGAATATGTATACACATACATATGTATGCATACATTTATATAATAGGTATGTGTGTGTGTATGTGTATGTGTGCACACGTGCACTTTTGTACTGAACAGAAGGCACTAGCAGCAGAAGGGGTGGGGCAGGTGAATTGGGAAAGGCATCTTGTAGAAGGTGGCACTTGAACTGAAGGACATTAGGGATTCTAAGAGGCAGAGATGAGGACATAGTGCATTCCAGGCATGAGGAATACGAAAGTACAGAGGTGGGAGGTGGAGTATTGTGTATGAGGAACAGTAAGACCTGTTTGACTGGACCCTACGGGATGTGAAAGGAGTAATACATCATGAGAAGGGAAAATAGATTGGAGCCAGGTTGTGAATGGTTTTAAATGTCAAAGGTAATAAAGAACAATTGGAGTTTATAGAATTGGGGGGAGCAGTTAATCTAGCCTAATATCCTCATTTTTAACAGAATAGGATACTGAGGCCTAGAGAAATGAAATTGTTTTTCCCAAAGTCACATAGCTGGTATGCAGGAGAGTAGATTCAAACTCTAAAGAATTATTTATTTCACAACTTCCACTAAGACATTTTCTCCTTTCAGGATGCTTGAAGATTTCCTAATTCAGCATGCTTACGACCTAATTCAGCACACATCTTAGTGTGGTCATTCATATTTCGGGATTACTATAACTATATGAAACTTTTTCAGCCTTTGGGGCCTTGACCAGTTATTGCCTCTCCTAGAATATGAAAATGCAGAGTGAAAAGGGACCTTCGATGCCATTTCATGTGACCCTTCCTTCCTCCAAAAACCCTTTGATGGATAAGAATCTAAGGCCTGACCTCTCCAAGGTCACACAGGTAGGAACAGCCAGCTGCTCTTGTCCTCTGACTTTAAGCACCACTCTCTTTAGAAATGAACAGTGGCAGATCTGATTAAAAAAAAAAGATTCTATTTATGTCCCTCTGTCATGCATATTTGTTTGTTGTCAAGGGGTTACATAACATTTGTGGTATATTCACCAGAACAAAACTTCTTTTGCCTAGGCTAGAAGGGCCCAGGAACTGTCAAATAAGAAACTAATATTGAGATGCCAGCTGACAGGTGTGTCTTGTGGGGGTGGAGGGAGGGGACGGTTACTGAGGGAAGGAATCCAGGAAAGGGAGGATGGGAAGGAAACAGGCTCCAGAATGGCCCGACAAGGAGCAGGCTATGCTGGAGCCTGCAGAAGGAGTCCTACCAAGTATTGATTGAGTATCAGACTATGATAGGCTTGAGTACTCTGGAGATATAAGGAGAACATAGCATTTGGTCGCTCCTCTCAAAGAGTTTATAATCTACTTGAGAAAACAAAACAAATATGCACATAAGGGCAGTAAAAGACAGTGACTGACTGTGAGGTACAGTGAAAAAAGCCTTGGATGTGAGAGTTCAAAGGCCAGGATTCTAGTCCCAGCTCTGACTCTGACTATGACTGACTATGTAATTTTTCCTCTCTGAGCCTAACTTTTGTTCTTCGTAGCATGAGGCGGTTGGACTTAGATGATCTCTAGAGCCTGTGACTGGCCTAGTATCCAATGTTCTAAAGTCACTTCCTGCTCTAGCTTTCTATGTTCTAAGAGTATACGTTCTATATTCTAACATTCTGTGGTCTAAGGGGCCTTCTAGCTCTGATAGTCTAAGTACTATGTTCTAATATTCTATAGTCTAAGGATTTTTCTGCTCTAATTTTGTGAGTGTTATATTCTAACTGCCTATGAGATGAGACTAGATTCCAAGCATATGTGTAGACTGCAAGTTCCATTTGGTGGAGAGAACTGGGAAGAACTTAACTGTGGTCTGAGCTGCTAGTATAAGGCTTCTCTTATTACTGTGGTTATAACAGAACAGCAGCCTGCTCATCAGAATGTCTGACCCTTTTCTCCAAGCCTTTGTTTTGGCTCTGGGTTTCAATTTGAGGGTTGGGTCAGAGTGAAAAGAGGATGTGAAACTTTCAAAACTGAGCGTGGCTGGGTAAAACTGCAACAACATATTTGGCACTGCCCAGATTGCACCCAGGCAAACTGGTTCTTGGTGAGTTTGGGATGGTGCCCATAGTGGCTTGATTGCAAGGCCAGTCTGTGGCTAGAGCTGTCCTGAGGCCTGGAACTTGTTAGAAACCCGGCAGGCCACAGCTCACTTTCTTAGTACAATAGAACTGATTTTCTGGCAGCAGGGAGGGTTTGATACAATGGGAGAAAGTCATTCGGGCAATAATAATAGTAATAACCTAGCAACAATTTTTTTCTTGTCCATTACCTTATTTAATGTTCATAGTTCCCTTCCCATGAGGTAGGGAACATTAGTATAATTAACCCCATTTGACAAATGAAGAAGCTCAGGCTATTCACAGATTCACAAAATGTCAGCATTAGAAGGGACCTAAAAGGTTATCTATGCATCCCCCTCAGTTCACAGAGTAGAAGGAACCATAGGCCCAGAGAATTGAAGCGACTTGCCAACCTGGGTAGACAGATTGTAAGTTGCTGAGGAAGACTCTAACCCAGGGCCTCTGGCTTTACATTCAACGTTCATTTTAGTGTGCTCTATTTTTATTCATTCATCCAACCAATATTTACCAAGTGCCAGTCCTCCTGTATGAGTTTGCACAAGGGCTGTTCTCAACAATACTTGCTTCAGAGAGAGTACAAATAAGATTGCTTGGGGAATATTTAAAATACTTAAAAAAACAAACTTCTCAAGTACATTCAAGAAATTTTAAAATGCCATCTATATATGATTAAGAAGAGATGGCCTGGCTGGTGTTGTGAAGAAAATATCTGAGTAGGAGTCAGAAGGTTTAGGTCTCTTCATTTCCTTCTCTGGATGTCAGGTTGCTACTTTGTCTTCTTGAATGATCTTTAGGTCCCTTCTAGTACTAATATTCTGTGAGTTAGTGGATTAATTATAAGTGGATCAATCAATCAATCATTTGTTCAGTAACAGAGTTGAGAAAACAGATTTTTAAAATCTCAGTATGTTATTAATTACCCACATTTAATGAGATGACATTTGCTCAGTCGTTTTTCAGTTGTGACCTCATTTGGGGTTTTCTTGGTAAAGATGCCGGAGTGAGTTGCCTTTTCCTTCTCCAGCTTGTTTTACAGATGAGGAAACTGAGGCAAACAGGGTTAAGTGACTTGCCGGGGTCATACAGCTAGGAAGTATCTGAGGCCAGATTTGAACTCACAAAGGTGAGTCTTCCTAATTCCAGCCTTGGCACTCTATCCACTGTGCCATCTAATTGCCCTGAGATGACATTTACCATAAGTGTAAAACACCTTCCCTTGGGTGCAAAAACTGCACAAGTACAGGGATAGAGAACTTTGGTTAGATCACAAATCATAGTGTCCTGAAGGCTCCCATGGATAAGTACAGAGATGGGGCCTAGACCTGTGCTTTCATTGGTATGGGAAACAACCCCAGTGAAGCAATTCCCTCTCCCAGTAGGGGTCATTACCTTCTTAACTCTCGAAGCTCACATGGTAGCAAAAAACAAACAAACAAACAAAACCCTAACTTCATTTAAACTGTGTGAATATGAAGTAGTATCTAGATGAAGGAAGCAGTCATTTAATTGTCCTTTATTTACCCTGACTAAACCATATCTAGGGGATCCTATTCAGTTTTTGGTCCAGAATTTTAGGAGTGATGTGGACAAGCTGGAGCATATCCAGAGGAAGGTGATCCGGATGGTGAAGGGGCTGGAGACCCTACCACATGAACAAACAGGGGATATTTAGCCATGAGGAAAAAAGACACTGGGGGACTTGATTTTTGTCTTTGAGTACTTGAAGGACTGTCACGTGGTAAAGGGATTGGACTCAGTTCTGCTCAATCCCAAATGGTAGAACTAAATCTGATGGATAGATGCTGTAATGAAGCAGACTTTGGCATAAAAACTTGCAGAGAGATGCCCCAAAGTAGAATTGGCTACCTTGTCAGGTAGGGTGCCCTTCATGACCGGAGGCCTCTGAGTGGAGCCTAGAAGGTCACTTGCTGGGGATTTCTTCGGTGGGATTCCAGTTCAGTTCTAGACTAACTCAGATGTTCTCTGTCCTTCTAACTCTCAGATTCCATGAGTTTATTTTGTGAACCAATGGTGTGGACTGCTTTGGGAAGTGGTGACCACCTACCCTTGGAGACATGCAAGCAGAAGCTAATTCTGTCAGGGGTGTTGAAGAAGAGATCGCCAAATGGGGTGAGAGGTTAGGAGAGACGGCCGATAAGGACCATTTTCGTTCTGAGATTTAGTGACACTGTGTCCTTGAACATGTGAGAGAATAAAAGTGTATTTCTTTTTTTTTTAAGTTGTTCTTGAAGTCAGACTTTTCTCCAGTTCACACCAGCCTTCACCCCAGTGATCTGTATTGAAGGTTTTTCACTGTATTCCCAACTGGGGAGCTACCCAGGAAATCAGTCTCTTAACAGCTCTGGGCTACAGGGTCGGGGAGAGATGGAAACCCAGAAATAGAGCAAAAAGGTTAAACAGTTTTCCAAACTATTAGTCCTGTTCATCAGCTGTCCTTCCCAGGCCTTCTCCAAGTGACTTATGACCTCCCAGAGAGAAAATAATGAGTCTTCTCTGCAAAGACTATTAAGACTTTATTCCCTCCCCCAATCATTGCACTTCCTGTAATCTGGTTTCCATCACTCTATTCAGTAATAATAACAATTTCCCTTTCTATAGTACTTTAAAGTCTATAAAACACTTTCCTTACAGCCACCCTAGAAGGAACAGTAGTGCAAGTGTTGCTAACAAGATTGACTACAGTGGATAAAGCCATCTCTAGATGGCTTTTCTGTGATCTCTTTTCAGCCCTCCTCAAATGTCCCATGGCTTCTCTCCCCACCTCCCTCAGCTGAGAACTTTGCCTCATATTGTACAGAAGATATTGAAAGTCTTTTGCCGTGAGGTTCCTCTTTCCCCTTCTTCCCTGTCTCATATCACTCAGATGACCCCTGCCACTATCTCCTCCTTTACCCCTGTCTCATATGATGAATTGGCCCTACTCTTTACCAAGGCTCACCCCTCACCCCTGTTCAAGTGATCCCATTCCATCCCATCTCCTCCAACAGATTGCCCCCTCTGTCATCCCCATTCTCTCACTTATCTTTACTTTCTGTCTACTGGCTTCTTCTCTGTTTGCCTATAAACATGTTCATGCCACCTCTATCCTCAAAAAACCCTCACTTGATCCTTCTATATCTAATAAGTGCCATCCTATGTCTGCCTTTTGTGGTTAAATTCCTTGAGAGGGCTATCTACTGATAGGTGCCCCCACTTTCTTTCCTCTCACTTTCTTCTTAACCCCTTACAGTCCAGCTGCAGATCTCATCATTCCTCTGAAACGACTTTTAATGATCTCTTAATTGTCAAATCCAATGGCTTTTTTGAAATGGCCTTTTTGAAATCCTCATTGTCCTCTGTTTCTCTGCAGTCTTTGACACTGTTGACTAACCTCTTCTTGATATTCTCTTCTCTTAGGTTTTTGGGATACCCCTCTTTTCTGGTTCTTCTCCTTTCTGACTACTTCTCAATCTCCCTTGCTGGATCCTCATCCAGGTCATGCCTTTTAACCATAGGTGTCCCATAGGGTTCTATTCTGGGCCCTCTTCTCCCTTTGTATTATTCACTTGGTGATCTCTTCAACTTCTAGTTTAATTGTCGTCTCTATGCTGGTGATTCTCAAATCTACTAATCCTGCCCTAACCTCTCTGCTGACCTTTAATCTTGTATCTACAACTGCCTTTCAGACATCTTGAACTAGATGTGTAATAGACATCCTAAACTCGACATGTCCAACACTAAACTCATTAAAGCCTCCTTTTAAAGCCTCTCCCCACCCCAAACTTCTCCATTACTGCAAAGACACCACTTATTCTCTCAATCTTCTAGGCTCACTCCTAGTCTCCTAGGTGCCATCTTCAACTCCTACATCTTATCCTTCCCCCTTCCCCCACCTCCCATTCCAGTCTGTTTCCACTGACTGTCAATTTCACCTTTGCAACATTTGTGGAATATGTACCTTTCTCTCCTCTGATACTGCCACCATCTTGGTACAGGCCCTCATCACTTCAAGCTTGGTTTATTGCAATAACTTATTGGTGGGGCCGCCTGCCTCAAATCTCTCTCCATTCCATTTCATCTTCCTTTCAGCCTTGAAAGTGATTTTCCTAAAGCACAGGTGACATCGTGTCATTCCCCTCATACTCAAAAAACTTCAGTGACTCCTTTTCACCTCCAGGATCAAATACAAAACACTGTTTAGTGTTCAAAGCCTTTTGTAACCTAGCACCACCTCCCAATCTCTTTCCAGGCTTTTTACACCTTCTCCCCCAACCAGTACTCATCAACCCAGTGACTCTGGCTTCCTGGCTGTTCCTCAAACAAGACACTCCATCTCCTGGCTCTGGAATTTTCTCTGGCTTTTCCTCATGCTGAGAATTCTCTCCCTCCTCATCTTCTGTATCCTGGCATCCCTGGCTTCCTTCAAGTCTTAACCAAAAATCTCATCTTCTACAAAAAACCTTTCCCACCCCCTCTTAATTCTAGCACCTTCTTACCCTTAAATACTTCCTATTTGTCCCACACATGGCTTGTTTGTACACATTTGTTTCCCCCATTAGATTGCAAGTTCCTTGAGGGCAAGGACTATCTTTTGCCTCTTTTTGTACTCCCAAGCACTTAGCACAATGCCTTACACACAGTAGGTGCTTACTAAATGCTTATTTACTGACCCTCTGGCTCACACTCATTGTGTGATCATGGCTAAGCCATTTACCCTGCCCAAGTTAATAATACTGGTAAAATTAAAGAGGCATCTTGTCATGATGTATAGAGAGATGGACTTAGAGTCAGAAAGACCTGAGTTCAAATCCTGACTCAGATACTTACTAGCCCTTTGACCCTAGGCAAGTCACTTAACTTCTCTCAGCCTCAGTTTCCTCATTTGCAAAAATAGGGATTATAAAAGCATTTACTTTGCAGAGTTGTTGTGAATACCAATGAAATAACATAAAATACTTGGCAAACTTTACTATTATGAGAGGATGGAATTCTAGTCTTGGAGTCAGGAATAACTGAGTTCAAACTCAGACACTTACTAGTTGTGTGACTCTGGGAAGATCACTTTATCTCTCAGCCTCAGTTTCCTCACCTATAAATGGGTATAATAATAGCATCTGCCTGAGTTGCAAGAATCACTTGAGGTAACACATGCAAATCACTCTGCCAACTTTAAAGTGCCATATAAATGCTACCTATTGTTATTTTTATGGTAATCAAATGAGATCAAATATGTGTTAAATGCTCTGCAAATCTTAAAGCACTATGTGAATGCTTGCAGTTATTATTACCAAACCTCAGAGGTTGTTGTGAAGCTTAAATGAGATAATCTGTATTTATATAGATATATATGTGTGTGTATATGTGTATGCATGTACATATATATATGTACACACACACACTCAACACACATAGAAATGTCAGCTATCATTTTTATCTCCATTTTTACAAATCAGGAAACTAAGGCTCAGAAAAGGAAAAGGATTTGTGTTAGATCAAACAGTGTCAAGCATGTGCCCGATGGTGCTCCTTGTGGTATATCAAACTTGTTGTTTGCCCTTTCAGGAGGTTCTTAGGCTTTTATAAGGGACTCTCCAGGAAGCAGAAAGTAGCCTGTAATTAGCTACTGCGCTGCTAAATCCTCAGATTGCCCTGCTCTCTCCCTGAGCAATAATACAAGGTGAATACATTTGAAAATCCAGGCATAACCATCTAACCATTGGGTTTTCTTAGCTCTAATGTGTTTTCTCTAATTGCTCCCTGGCTGCCTGTTCTGTATTTACTAAATTAAATGAAATGAAGCCCTCCTTCTAATGGGTGGAATGGTAGTTATGCTCAAACAATTTTCTGCCTAAGCTTGTGCTGAACACAGATCATTAGAGAATCATATAATATCAACCTTGGAAGGGATCTGAAAATTAAAAAAAAAAACACAGAACATTAGAGCTAGAAGGGACTTTTTTAGAACAGAGAACGTTTGGGATCTTCTAGTCCAATGGTGCAACACCATAAGGATAATCATCATAACAATAGCTAGCATTTATAAAACACTTTTTAATTAATAGATTTCTATTTTATTTCTCAATTACACATAAACAAGGATTTTTAACATTTGGGTTTTTTTTTTTTTAAATTTTAAGTTTCAAATTCTCTCCCTCCCTCCCTCCCCTGCCCTCTGCTTGAGAAGGCAAACAATTTGATATAGATTATACATGTGTAGGCATGCAAGACATTTCCATATTAGTCATGTTGCAAAAGAAAATGTAGACCAAAAAAAAAAACCCAAAACAAAACAAAACAAGAATACTGAAGAAAGCTTAAAAGTATGCTTCAATATGTGTTGAGACTCCATCAGTTCTTTCTCTGGAGATGGACAACATTTTTCATCATGAGTCCTTCAGAATTGTCTTGTATCATTGCATTGCTGAGAATACCTAAGTCATTGACAATTGGTCATCATTTAATAGTGCTATTACTATGTACAGTGTTCCCTTGGATACATAACACATTAATTTTTGCAAAGTCCTTTGCAATATTTATCTCATTTTATCCTCCTAACAATCCTAGGAAATAGGCACTATTATTATCACCATTTTATAGATGAGGAAACTAAGGTTAAGTGACTTGCCCAGGGTAACACCGTATCTGAGGCTGGGTTTGAATTCAGATCCTTCTGACTTCAAGTCCAATGCTCTATTCACTTCATCATCTAGCTGCCTCTAAAGAACATAGAATGGTGGAGATCTTCTAGCCCAACTTAGTGGAACATGATCTTTATTTTAAAGAAGAGGAAACTGAGGAGCAAAATGGGCTAGAGACTTGCCCAAGGTCACAGAAAGAGTCAGTGGCAGAGCCAGGTCTCTGGACTCCCAGTGATGCCCTGGGAGCATTTTCCTGCTAGCTCTGCTGTTCACAGACCAGAGCCTGTGCTGGACTTCATGTGCTGACTGTTTTATGAGCTTTACTGATATAACTGCAGATGCATTCCCCATCAGGACATACACACTTCCCCTCATTTACCATCTTGGCTTGTGTTTACTTATCTGGATGACTGACTCTATTAAAGGATTAATCCCAGATTGGAACTGTACACAGCCTCCACTTAGGAGTGCAACACCAGGAGCTGAGCACATACAAGGCAATCTTTATGCAACCCGACCTGACCTTCTTCCTGTTGCCCAGCCTGGAAGCAGCCAATGATCATGGTCTAGAAGCAACTCCGCCTTGTCACTGGAGACT